TTGAATAGGTGTCTCTTTTCCCCTCCACAGTACTCTAAATGTCTTTGTTTTGCTCAAAAATAGGACTTCGAATTTTATCAAACAAAGTAATTGCATTGGATTAAAACATAGACTGTTCATCTAAACTATACGTTTCCCACAAACTCAGGAAAGAAAGGTCTAAAATAAAATCCCCAAAAAATACATCTGTAATAGTGAAATTTAAGCGGGGTCGTAATGTGGTCCAATGAAAAATCGAGTTTCTGGAAAACTGGTGAACGGCAACAATAACAGACTTGAAAGTAAAACGAAAAAGTGTTCCACAAAAAGAAAGACGACACTTCGAAGCGTCAGGGCGTACATTTCGATCCCACTTTAATACATAGCAGCGGGTTGAAAATAATGGTTTGCTCCGACACAGAATTTTGAGTGACCGACATTTGAGCGATACCGACAGTTGAGCAAAGTGTGTTACTTAAATCTGCTCACCCTCTACAGGTCTCGAATACGACAAAGAAATTTTTATCATCACCTTTAGTAATCGTTACCGAAATGAACAATCATTAAATTTTCCTGATCGGAAAAAAGTCATATTGAAAAGTGTCTCATGTCGGGTCGCTCAAATGTCGGGATCGCTCAATCGAGGGAGTTTTGGTATAATTGATAATAGAAAAGGCATTCTCCCACAATCAACCGTAATGATAAAAAGTTTTAAATATGGCCAGTTAATAGAGCTTTTCAAGAGCCACAAAATGGTCATTTTCTCTTATCCTATATCGCAAGTTACAAAGGACTAAAATTCAAAAAACTACTTTTTAGCCTAGAAATTAATGGAGACTGAAGCTTTGCAGTGTTTCATCCATAGTCTTTTATTTAAACTAAGTATAAAAAATGTTCAATATAGTTTTTGTAGAGAATTGAACGTGGAATACTTTTGTAAAAAAACTCGAGTTTTGGTAGTAAAAATTGACAGAGATATTGGCAAAATAATGAGAGGCTTATTTATTATGGGTTAGAATCTATACAACGAAAATAATACATAAGCTTCCATATAATGAAAATATACACATATCAAAACATTCTTTCAGTTTTTTTTTGTTATTAAATATTGTAACTTTTTTGGACTACCTTTTATGTTTTCCTTCACATTTTTTCATCAGCAATAAATTATAATACGACTCGTATAAGACAGAATACATTTGTATTGTGCGATAGAACATCTTAACAGTACATATAGCACAGTGAGCATCCAGGCGGAAATTAGGTGAAAAGTCAAATACAAATAGTGGAAAATGTAGAAAGGGCTATCGAATGGTATATAAATGTCTGTTTTGAAAATGATTCCTACGACGAGAAATCACGGTACACAAAATCGATTACGGATATCGTTACTATATACGAAATAAAGATTCTTTGCTTATTCAATTATTTACGCGATTTCAAAGCAGATATTCAGAACCACCACGCCTTCAGCTATCTATTGGTAACAAAATATTTCTATTTCGGCACCGAATTCAATAAGTAAGAGCGACATGTTCTATATCACGTCAGTCCGTAGTAACAGTACTCCAGTATAGTCGGGTCGCCCTCGTTAGCCCCACGCGAAAATAGCATTCAAACACATCAGAATGTTCCTCAAACGCTACTCTATGTATTCTAAAATCGCAAAATCTCGCATATTTTCCAAGGAGGTTTTATGGATTTTTCAAAATCCCAAGAGGTTTTCGCGTATTTCACGTTTTTCTCTCTCACCAAAGCACTTTTTCGTACAAATAATGCCATATTCGGAATCAGCGTGAAAAACTACGTCGAATGATGTATAGTTTGTTAGTTTTACAAATAAAACATTTTTTGACAAAAATTCAGGGCAAGGATCCCTACCCCCCCCTAAGGAACTTTTTGTCGAAAAAAACTTTTTTTCGAATTCGACCTTTTGTACTTCTGCTAATATCTGACACATAGTAAGACTATATTATGCTAAAATAATCATTTTCTAACTCAAAAAATCAGATGTCCGCCTGCTCTATGGAGAAATGCCCACTGTGTATAGGAAGTTTTTGCATTGTAGAGCTACTCCATCAAAAAAATTTAACTATTAACAAAGTATCTCTTTCTCAACATTTGCAAATGTCAGTCTATGTCTAGATGAGTTCTCCATAGGGGATTGAAAATTCTTAACTAAGTACTTCAACAGTATAATTACACAATCAAATAGCCTTGTGGTTCTCATCTTTGATTGAATGTCGGCGGAAATGACTAAAACAAAAAGTAAAATGAGTATGAACTTCAACATTCCTTTCAATAAGTTGGAGAAAATCAGTACAATTAAATAAAGAATATTGTTATTAAAAAATAAGGCAAAAAAAACAGTAGCGGTAGCACATACAGAAGTATATAACAGCAAAAATAAGCTAAAATAGTTTCAAAAAAATAATAAAGCACTTCGGATATCAGAAAAAGGAAATATATAAATCGTTAAATGCACCGGTGCATATCTAAACAAACTGTTTCTACTTTATCAGATCAAAGCATTGTACAAGTTGCTGATTGTCTTGTTCTCTCATTTGAAATATCAACATCAATCAATTTTTTAATATCAGTTATATTCTTTTGTAACGATTGATTAAGTAAACCATTTAATTGAGCTATTTTTTGTAAACGTTTTTTATACTGATCTAAATCTTTCATAAATGATGGTAGACGAATCACATTCAAGTGAGCAATACGTTGAATACGTTTCAGATCTTAGTAAATAAAAGCATTTAGATTAGATTAAAAAAAAATTAAAAAGATTTTCTTATACCTTGCAAAGATACTTTTCCACTCATTAATACTCGAAAATCGATAGTAGCCAAATTTCGCAAAATTCCTACAGCACCTAAAAAAATCAAAAACAAAGTATTACTACTGTTAAAACTTACGTTCAGATAAAACATACCTTCAAACTAGCACTGATCTCTTGAAAATGCACCAATTTGATTTGGATCTTTAAAACCCTGTTTAATTCTTACTAAATGTTTCCATCGTTGATTTGGATCTTTGACGTAACGTTCAAGATGAATGAACAATTCACCGAATGATAATTTATTTGCCAAACATATTATATCTAAACATAGGAATTTATGCTTATTCCAATGTTCTTATTAACAAAACGTTTTATCTTACAATAGCTAAGAGCCGATGAAAATAAATATTGTTGGTGTGCCTCGATCAATGTGTGTAATGATGCTAGACCTTCTTCTGTTGTTAAAATTTGTCTACAATTTGGATCCTTTAATCCAAATTGAGCACGATCTTTAAACCAAGGTTGTAAACCTTCATTAAACGATCGTAAATAATGTGTTTCAATTTCATGACTAAAATATACAAAAAAAACAAAGGAAAAAGTCTAAAAAAAAAGAAACTTAACTTCTTTTAACTCACTTTGCTAAACAAATAATACCCGTTCGACGAAGAAAGATATTTTCTTTTACATTATTCACCCACATCACAAATTTTCGATCTTTGCCAGCAAAGTTTGAATTGGAATTTTTTTTTGTATAAGCAATCATACGGCCGCTAAAATAAATCATAGATGTAGAAATAATGAAAATTTTCTATGATATTCTGTACACCTGCAAACCATTCCCGGTGCAAATGTGACTGTTACATTCGTATATAATTTTCGTTCCATGAGATATTGTTCTAATAAAGTTTTTGCTGTATCAGTCGATATCTGTGGTCCATAAGCTGCTTGATAATATTTTTCTGCTGTATCATAACGTTGTCTTACCTGTTCCAAAACATATTTTGCTTCTTCGTACAAATCATATTTAACAATTGAATTACGATTTAATAATGTTTTCAAACGTTTTTCTGTAACTTTAAATTCAAATGTTGGTAAAATATTTTGCTTAATAAATTGATCTTTTGCTTCGTTAACATTCAATGGTAATAGTGCATCACGATACAATGTTGGTAAACGTTCGAGAACACTAATTTGTTGGCCAGATTTGGCGAGAACATTTTTTTCAGCTACAATTGATCGTTTACGACAGTAGGATATTTCAGATTTTGAACGAATTCTATGTTTAGAAGAGGTTGTACTACTATCACTACTTGAAGTTTGTTTACGCTGAACACTCGCTGTAGCCGTATATTGACTAATTGTTGATGAAGTCATTTCAAAATGAGAATGTAAACTCAGTGGAGCATTTTTTTTTTTTTTTATTTGAACCGAGCTGATTTCCATCTTTTTTTTATTAATTAAAGCCACCGAGATCAATTCTCTCTTTTTTCCGGGTCCATTTATTTTCGTGTCCTATCAAAGCTTTAAAATATTTTGTGAAATATTCATCATCGCGCTTCAGTATGGCTGGACATACTAGTTAATTGGCTTTCATGTTCGAGCAACTCACGATTCATAGACCTTTCCCTCGCTTATTTTATGCAGCTTTTTTTGCTTGACGTTCTTGGCTTAAGGCCCCACCCCCCGTCAGAAACCTATCTCGAAACCACAGTCCGATCTTGACCAAACTTTTAGGAGATGCTGATCTTGAAAGTATGATGACGAAATTTTTTGTTTAACTCTACCGTACATGGTTTGAGAGATGTCGCCACAACAGTGACCAAATGGGGCTGTTCGTACCCAGGTGGACGAAAACTGTCATTTAATTGTCCATTAACAGCCTGTTAACTGTATGCCAAAAAATGGCCTGTTAATTGTGAAATTGGCATTTAACAACCATTTTAATGGCTGTTTTTTACTTTGAAATAACGGTGGAAATAATGCCGTATTATAGTCAATGTCCGAAAAAATAGCATTTTACGGACACCATTAAATGGCATTTTCGTCCATTTATTAGACCGCGTTAACTAATGCCAAATAAATGTGCCTGTTATATGTCCATTTTGAGGCAGTTTTTTCCCCATTTCAAAATGGCAAAAAAATTATCATAAATTGACATTTAACAGCCATTTTATGGTCACCAAGTCATTCACCGTTTTATTCTAGTATAAATCAATTCACCGTCATGACTAGTATAAATGACTCTGATTTTAAATAATATATATTATAATTTAGAGTTTTTCTCTTCATACAAGCCGTAGAAACTTGCCTCAAAAAAGTGGCCTATGGTTCTTGGGTCGGTACCGGTGATAATACCTTAGGTTTTAGAAGATATTTTTTTGACATTTCTAACGGTCTAAAAACTGATATTTAAATGGCAAAAAAGTGTGCTCAGCAGGGTTACTGGCAGCAGTTAAATGCCTGTTATTTGACCGTTTTTTGACATTTAAAAAAATGCGAAATAAATGCATTTAAACGTTCCCATGTAACTTGAGTGCGTCTGAAGAAACGAGTTTCGTTCCGAAAAGACGCGTCTGGACGCGGGTAATTTATGAAAAAACTTGGCAAACGCGTTAAAACGCGCCGTGTACGAACGCGACCAAACGCGTTTTAGAACTTTTTTTTGAAAAAACGCGTAATCACCCGTTTTATTTGGTATTAGTGAGCAAACGCGTCTATACTAAGCGCGTCTTGAAAATTGTGGCGAAAACAACGCGTCCTTTTAAGTACAGTAGCTCCACCGCGGCTAAACGCGGTACAATATGACGCGTTTAAGCGCGACAATTCAAACTTTTATGCAAAGGCGCGTCTAAACGCGACTTTATAGGTCGTTCCCTCAGATGTGTTTAAACGCGACATATTACGACGCGTCAAGGCGCGTCCGTTACATTTTAATCCAATAAACGCGTTAAAGCGCGCTTGAGAAGTAGTTTGCATCTTTGACGCGTTCAGATGCGTCATGTTACGACGCGTCTGTTACAACACGGTTCAATAGACGCGTTTGAGGACCAGTTCGGGTCTTTGACGCGTTCAGATGCGTTATATTACGATGCGCCAAGACGCGTCTGTTACAACGTGGTTCAATAGACGCGTTAAAGCGCGTTTGAGGACCAGTTTGGGTCTTTGACGCGTTGAGACACGTCTTATTGTTACAAGCTATTTTTAGTTTAACGAGAAACATTTTAATTTTTTTGCCTACTGGCGAAAGAGAGGCATGCCCAGTATTATCGAGGGACAGAGAAAC